TAGCAATGGCTCCAACCTACTAGCGATGGCTCCAACCTACTAGCGATGGCTCCAACCTACTAGCAATGGCTCCAACCTGCTAGCGATGGCCTCCACCCAATTTTGATGATTGGCTGGCGAACTGGGCTATGATTTGGCTTGACGAGCGTACCTCACGTGTCAGTTGGGGTGAGCTCACGCAGGGTTCTGATGCTTCAATGGTCCAGCGACTCCAGCGGTTTGAGATGGCACACACGCACATCTTGAAGAGACATGGTGGGTTTTGGCTTTGATCTAAGATTGTACATGGGACTTTGCCACCAACACGGAAGCAGAAGCCAGAAGATCTCAGTCTCCAGTGACCTGGATCAATGAAACGACCATGCCTGGCGCACACGACATGGTTTTCTCGATTCGGGCCCAGCTGTTGGACGCTGCAGGACAGCCTGGGGCCCAGTTGTGGGCCAAACAACCAGGATTTGTGTGACGAGGCGGGCCTTCTTGACTTTAGCTGAAAGGAAGGAAGGCGGAAGGCATGGGTTGAACAGAGAAGAAACCGGTGGAGAAGGTGGAGAAAACCGAGAGAGAGAGAGAGAGAGCGAGAGACAGAGACAGAGGGAAAAAAAGCAGGATGGGATGCGTCAGAACATCTCGTCAGTTGTGGCAGCTGGCCAGTTTGATGAGAATGTTTGACACAGAGCCCTTCCAGCTGTGCTCATATGCAGGCGAAGAAGGCACAGCTGGAAGACTACATGAACATGCCAATCGGTGATTTGCCAGCAGAGAGCTGGAGTTGGGGCCTGTACCGTTCAGACCACCTGTGCCGTTCAGACGAGGGCGCTGTACACGGACAAGGGGCACGCCAAATGAACTTCATAGATATTTTGTCTATTAAGAGCAAGGACGCTACTAGTAGCTTCTGGCCTTACTGCGTCCTTGCTCCTAGTAGCGATGCCCCTTTGCTCGAGCGGGTGAACTGGCTGAACCGCTCGCCACTTCTCAGGCGACTTGAGGAGACGCATTGAGGAGGAAGAGGCTTTAAGTGCCAAGGCGGATGAGGAGTTGGCAGAGCTACTGAAGAAGCTGCAAGCGCAGTATGAGGAGGGTCAAAAGGTCGGGTTTGGCAAGTCGGTGGCTTCTCAAGGTGAGTGCGGAGTGAGAGGCTTCTCACGAGATGAATAGTCATGAGAGTTGTATCCAGACCAACCTGGTACAAGTGCAATCTTCATTTTTGTCAGTTGCCAGGCGCGAGACCAAAAGCAGAAGGAGATCAAAGATGCTGGGCTCAAACTCATGAAGACCGTCCAGGCCGCTGGTGTGCCCACATGGGGAGTCCTTCACCTCTCCATTTTTCTACCGGACATCATGCTTGGCTTGAAGGAGTGAAGTTTGTATCGGATTGAGATCATGAGACAGCCCAAATCAGAAGTAACATACAGCAAACAGCAGGTTGCCAAATGTGGGCAACCCCAGGTTGCTACAGAAACGCGCCCGTTTTGAAGTGCATTTATTGAATAAACGGTGGGTTCTCAACATACTCTGCCGTTTTTTCTCCTCCGCGGGTATTTGGGAATATCGTGAGTGTTCTCGTTTACACCTCGTTCTCTGAAGGGTGCGATCACGGGATGGTCGACCGATTCGCCCCGTTGCAAGTCGATGCCGTCACACGGTCGACCGAAGGCTCACCGGAAGCACTTGCAGAATGAACTTTGACGGCTGAGCCCACAAGCAACGAGGGTGTCCGAGACATGCGTGCTTAGACCAAGACCTCCATGGCTTCTAGAGTTCATCAATCCCAGTTGCTGGTGCAGGGTTGCATAGGATTGCATCCTTCTACTCTGGGTGGGTGTTGGCTGTTTCCAGATCTCGGTCGACCAGGGAACTGCTTGGAAAAGGCTCATTTTGGCAGGACTGGTGACTGGTTGGCTGGACTCTTGACATACCACGGAACCTGGGCGCATCCTTTTTGAGTGGTCATGGTTTGAGTGGGGTGTCTGGATTTCTGGAATGTCAGCCTGGACCTGAAGCAGTAGTTTGCTTTGCTGAGTGAGCTGAGTGAGCAGGGAGTAGCATCAGCTTTGTGCTCAAAACAGTTCCAGGCTTTGAGCTCATCCCCATGTGACATATGCCATTACTGGGTGGGGAGCAGCGAAGACTTTTCTCTCGGCCAGACCTGCATGGGTCAGACACCATGGCACCAAGCAGGCAGTTTTGTGTATTTATAGACTGGCCATCTGAACAAGTGACAAATGACCTGTATATATCGTGTATATATATATATATATGCAATCTGTCACGCAGTGATGATGTATTTTGACAAATAGAAACAGGGAGGAACCATGTGACGTACGGTCGAATCCACGTGCCATTTTGGCTCCAAGTAAGGGGCCCCCCCCGCACTCTTTGTTTTTCAGCCATGGAGCTGGAAGATGAGTTGGCCCCCATGCCAGGGGGAAGCAGCGCGGGGGGGCCCATTGTGGTGACGGACGACGAGGGCACTCCAATGGAGGTCACACAGGTGGATGCCACCCAGGAGTTCGAGCAGGTGGGGAACATCCATGAGATGGCGGCCAGACTCAAAGAGCTCGAAAGTATGAGAGCCGAGGACGTTCGCAATGGGGAGGGCGACAGATCAGGATCCCCAACTGAGGTCATGGATGTCGACTCCAACAGCGACCATGAGCAGGTGAAGATGAGCCCATTGGAGGCCCTCAAGAAGTTGGTTGAAAACATGAAGGAGGCAAAGAAGGCAGAGACACCGGCTGCAAGTGACCCCATCGTGCGTGACGAGTACGAGATGGGTCGCTCCGAGATGCAGAAGCTGAAGTTCCACGTTCCAGGTGAGCTCAAGATGCCATGGGAAAGAGGCTTCACAGGTCTTGTGCTGGA